GGAGGCAGTGGGGTAGGCCAGCGCGGCCCCCTGGCCTGGGGCCCTCACTGGGGATGGGGATGGGGATGGGGATGGGGATGGGGTGGGCACAGGGGGACAGAAATCACTGGGGATCGGGATGGGGTGGGCACAGGGGGTCAGAGATCACTGGGGATGGGGATGGGGTGGGCACAGGGGGACAGAGATCACTGGGGATCGGGATGGGGTGGGCACAGGGGGTCAGAGATCACTGGGGATCGGGATGGGGTGGGCACAGGGGGTCAGAGGTCACTGGGGATGGGGATGGGGTGGGCACAGGGGGTCAGAGGTCACTGGGGATGGGGATGGGGTGGGCACAGGGGGACAGAGGTCACTGGGGATCGGGATGGGGTGGGCACAGGGGGTCAGAGGTCACTGGGGATCGGGATGGTGTGGGCACAGGGGGTCAGAGGTCACTGGGGATGGGGATGGGGTGGGCACAGGGGGTCAGAGGTCACTGGGGATGGGGATGGGGTGGGCACAGGGGGACAGAGATCACTGGGGATCGGGATGGGGTGGGCACAGGGGGTCAGAGGTCACTGGGGATCGGGATGGGGTGGGCACAGGGGGACAGAGATCACTGGGGATCGGGATGGGGTGGGCACAGGGGGTCAGAGGTCACTGGGGATCGGGATGGGGTGGGCACAGGGGGACAGAGATCACTGAGGATGGGGATGGGGTGGGCACAGGGGGACAGAGGTCACTGGGGATGGGGATGGGGTGGGCACGGGGGGGACAGAGAAAGCCTGCTCCTCCTCGGCCCTGGGGGTCCATACGGCGGTAAAATCAAACCCTCTGCAGATGTAGCCTGTGCGAGGTTTCCAGGTGCGGGAGGGTTGTGCGCAGGAGCTGTGCCAATCACAGCGGGTTATCCCAGTTACACAGCTGCCAAGGGCGCTCACTCCTGCAGGCGAGCTGCGCCCAAAACTGCCAGGGAGGCCAGGGATCCAAATGTCTAGGTGCCTGAGACCAGGCCCTGCACCTCCCCTGACGCCATCTGCCCCAGGAGATGGACCACCGCGGGGCGGGGAGGGAGGACGCCCCGCTCCCGCTCCCGCAGCTCTGAGACTCCGGGTGTGAGCAGGGTAAGCGGACAGGCCATCTCGGAAGGAGACTCATCCCTTCACAGGCTTCCCCCACCCTGGGTGCACCCAGCCCTCTGAGGCTCCTCTGTCGCCCTCCCCGCCCCAGACCCCCTCCCCCGGCCCCCGGAGGCAGCGAGACGGTGCACAGCCGGAGCCGCTCAGCGACGCCCCCTCTGGGCCACATGACCTTTAGCTGGTCCGCTTCTCTGCACTGGAAAAAAGGGGAGCCCAGCCCCCACTGCACTGGGGTTTGCAGGGTGAGTGAGATGCTGCGGAGAGACAGCCGGAGGAGCAGACCGGCCCCGCCTGGGTGCCCAGGCCCCGCAGCGCCTGGGCGAGCCGTCCACGCCGGCAGCTGCCAGGGAGCCCCGCAGCCCTGGAGACGCTGAGAAACGTGAACAGCGGCCACGGCCGTGACGGGTCCTGGGCCTGTGAGTCCCTCCGGGGAGCAGAGCGAGCCCGCGGCTCTGACGAGCTGTCCCCGCAGGCCGCCACCACGGGGGCTGCGTGCACAAAGCAAGGTGCCGTGTGAGCGCTCCAGAACCCCACGCGAGGGCGGCCCGGGTCACGTGCTGTGTGTGTGCATTTACGTGTGTCAGCGCCACCACCGCCGCCTGCCCAGAGGGACACACACCCCGTGGCTCAGTGGTCAGCTCCGGGAAAGATCCGAGGTGGCTAGAGCGTCGGAGGGATTTCACTGTCCTTGGTTTGTTTGCTCCGCGATAGACGCCCACCTCACCTGCGCAGATACGTTAAAAAATGCACACTGCCTGGCAGCCTGGCCCAGCGGTTGAGCGTCGACCTATGAACCAGGCGGCCACGGTTCGATTCCCAGTCAGGGCACAGGCCCGGGTTGTGGACTCGATCCCCAGTAGGGGGCGTGCAGGAGGCAGCCGATGGATGATTCTCTCTCATCCCTGGTGTTTCCATCTCTCTCCCCCATCCCTTCCTCTCTGAAGTCAATACAAATACATTTTTAAAAATACAGACTAACACCCAGTGCAGAGGGCGGGCCTGACCCAGGCTCCATCAAGGCCGGAGGCTGTGGTTAGGGCGGCAGGTCAGGGGGCTGGGAAGGAAGGTGTCTCCGGCCTCCTGCCAGGCCCCCAGCTCCTGGGGTCTGGACTGGGGACTGGGGAGGCCCGATGGGTGGACAAGGGACACCCGCTGGCACCCAGGAGGACAGAGACGCCCCGCCAGCCCCTCCTGGCTGAGCACTCCGCCAAGAGACCGACTGGAGGAGGTAAAATCCAGCCCGGAACCCAGGGCACCTCAGGGTGCAGCAGGCCTGTCAGAGCGAAGGCAGAAAAAGGGCACGTTTGCCGGTAACTGGGTTTCGGGTCTGTGAGGGCTGTGCCCGGCGGAGCACCCCGCCCCTTGCCAAGGCCCTGTGATGTGAAGGTGGGGTTCCCTGTGCACCCGCATGTGTTCCCATGGAAACTCAGCTTTGCAGAATCCTCTGGAAATGTTGCCTGGGAGGGGCCGTGCACTTCCCACGCCCGCCCTGCAGTTTGCTTTCCAGGGAGGCTTCTCCGGCAGGTGCTGGGGGAGCGGGGTGGGGGGCGGGGGGCCAGCCCCGGCAGGGCCCCCGGGGTCAGAGGTACCAGAACTGTGTCAGACCGAGGCTCTGGGAGAGCGGCGGTATGACCCAGGAGCAGAGGTGGGGAGTGCCGGGAGCACAAGGGCGGCCCGCAGGAGAGCACTGAGCCCCTCACTGGGGCAGGGCCGGGCGGGCAGGGGCAGCAGCGCCAGAGGCCTGGCCCTCAGGGCTGCCCGGGGCTTCTCCCGCAGTTCCAGGCCCAGGCCGCCCCGGGTGGCTGTCACCACCTCAGGGTCTGGGCTGCCCATCAGGCTCCCTTCCTAGGGCCTCTCTCCACCCTTCTCTCCTCTAGTCCCTCCTGAGCACCCCCCCCCCCCCCCCCGCCCCATACACACAGAGCCTGGGGCCCCGGACCCTCCACGCTGCCTCCTGCAGCGGCTTTTCCTGAAGGATTGTGGGGAAGGGAAGGCACACCAGGACTCCCCCGCACCCCATGCCCTCTGCACCCGCTGAGCCTCTGCAGAGCAGGGCTCCCCACATGTCCCCTCTGAGCATCGCTGAGAGACCCTGACTGTCACTGAGGCCCAGCTCAAGTGGACATGGCTGCTGAGAGGCGGAACTGGGGCTCCCAGCCACCCTGCCCCAAATGACCGTCAAGGTGGTCCCTCTCTCCTCTCCCCCCTTTCAGTCACACCCAGGCTCTGTAGGAGCTCTCTGTCCCCGCCCCCTTTCTGCCACCTGCACCCCCTCACCCCTGCCCTGCACCAGCCCATCTCCATGGGCTCTCAGCCTGGGGGGGAGGGGGGGAGGGTGCTCAGTCTCCTTTGCTCCACACCTGGAGTCCCAGAACTCTTCCCCCGACACCCATACACACACCCTCGCCCGTGTCAAAGCCCCACTTCACCCTGACACCCCCCCTCCCCGCCTCTGTCCTGCTCACATGAAAGCCGCCCGGCTCCCCAGCCTTCCCCTGGGCCAGGCTCAGCTGCTGGCAATGCCTGCTCCCAGCGGTGCCTGGCTGGTCCCCGAGGGCCCCGAAGCCTCGGGAGAGTGGGGTTCTGTCCCAGGCGAGGGGGAGCGGAGGAAGGGGGAGCACAAGGGGGGACAGGACCCATGTGGAGAAGAGTGTGGGGCAGGGCAGCCTGCTGGGGCCTGCAGCCCGGTGTGGGGGTAACCCTGCCAGGCTCCCTCTGCCCTCGGAGCCACTGCTAAAGGCTGGTTTCCAGCCAGAGGGCCTGGGCCCGGGGCTGAGGACAAGGAACCAGGCCCAGGGAGTGGCCTCCTGGTCTGCGGGAGGTCACTGCCCCCTGAGCAGCAGCTCCCCTCGGCCCACGCCCACTGGCTGCGGCCCAGGCTGTGGAGCCAGAACCTGGATGGGCCTGCGCAGGGCAGCTTCGTCTGGCTGGGCAGCACAGGTTTGCTGAGCTGCAGCCTCCGGGGCCAGAGGCCTCTCCATCAGCCTCCCCCGGTGCAGAGCCTGGTTACTGTGCGTCGCTGCGGGGCTGATGACTGGAAGGTGAGGACCCAGGAAGGCCAGCCACCCTCCACCCCAGACTCTACCAGGGTCCGGCCCCCCACCCTCCCTACACATTAAGGTTTGTGTGTGAGGGGGCAGACGGGGGTGGGAGGGAGGACTGGCTCGTCCATTTTACAAATGAGAAAACGATGGGAAGCCGAGGGCCAGCCCAACAGCCTGGGCGATCTGACCCTTAGCTCCTGACTTCCTGCGAAATGGGCTTCCACTCATTCTGAGGTGGGGGGAGGGGGCTGCGGGGGGTGGAATGAGGGGCCATGTACACACGGGGCCTGAGCTTCCCAACGCGAAGGGACCCCTCCCCCAGCAGGAGGCCCCAGGCAGCCAACCATCGCGCTGGACCAGGATGGAGAGCTGGCGGGAGGGAGGGCTGTCCTCCATCCGGGGACCTGGCCGGGACGATGCAGATAAGACAGAGGAGGGGGGCGGGGTCAGGACGGCCGATAAAGGGGGCTTTGGGGGACCCGGCCGGCCGGAGGGTGGAGGGAGGCGCAGCTGAGGCCTAGGGTGGAGAATGCTTGAGGAGCAGGGGGTGGGGAAGCAGGTGGCACCAGGCAGAGGGGAGACAGCCTTGGGGTCCTTGTCGGGGGGCAGAGAGCTTTAGGTTGTTCAGCTCCAGCTTAGCCAGCACCTCTCCCTTTCCTCCCCCCTCTCCCCTCCCTCCCGCTCAGGACAAGCCTGACCCCTCCTCACCACCGAGCCCAGACCGCCCTGCTCCCGCCCCAGGCACTCGGCCGCCTGCTCAGCCTCCAGCTCTGTCCGTGAGGCCAGCCCGGGGTCACCGTGTGCCTCTGGCCTAGGTGGACGGGGCAGCGAGGGGTAGTCACCGTTGCTCCTTTATTTCCCCTCCTGTGCACAGCACCGACACGGGTCCCTCACCGGCTCCCTCCTGAGTCTCGGGGGGCCTTGTGGGCCATGGTACCGCCTGGTGCCCAGAGAGCCCAGAGGCCGAGGGGGATCTGGAATGGGGGCCCACGGGAGCCCCTGAACACAGAGGAGGGGCCCACCGGGCAGAGGGCACGGAGTGGACAAAGGCCTGGAGGTGAGAAACACGCGGTGGGTGCCCCGGGGGTGGGTGCAGGCCAGGCAGGAAGGGCTGGAATGTGGGGTGAGTGCCCTGCGCCCCTGAGGCCTCACTCTTGGTCCCGATCGAGTCCTCTGGAGGGAGGGGCGGCCCCAGAGCCTCGGATCCGCCTCGGAGCTGGCCCTAGAGGTTCTCATAGACCAGGTTAAACTCGCTCTCACTCTGACATCGCTGCGCATTCTCCTGGGGAAGAAATGAAAAGCAACGGGAGGGGAAGGAACAAACTCACACCAACCTAGTTCTGTCAGAGGAGCAAACTGTGGCCTGCGTGGCTGTGACAGGAACGCCTGTCCTGTCCCAAGCCCTCCTCGCCAGCCTCTTCCCCTCACTCCCCACCCTGCTCCGCCCTCCTGCCCCTCCCCACCCCACTTTCACTGCCTCGGGGCCTCCCCGCACGCTCTTCCCTCTGTCCGGGCTGTTCCTTCCACACCACCTGTCCCCCAAACCTCCTATCACCCTGCAGGGCTTGCTCAGCATCCCCAGGACCCCTCCCAGCCCGGTCTGCCCCCCCAGAGCCCCCTCTCAGACAGGCCATCATGTCTCTGCGTGTCTGTTGGGTCAGGGACTCTATTCTTTCAGCCCCGAGGCTCCTGGAGAGCAGGGGCCTGTCTCAGCATCCGGGGCAGCGCCCCAAGGCCTGGCCCAGGGTGGGCACCGCCTGGCATGGCCCAGGCATCTTTGGGGGTCAGGTCTAGGACAGGAGGAGCTTTGAGATTCACTGAACAGCACCAGCCTGGGCCCCTGGGCCGGGGGACCGAGCACCAGCCCCTCTCACTCCCTGATGGCTCTTCCGAGGTGCCCAGGCCTACCCACCGCCCGTGGCTCCTGTCCCCGCCCAACAGCCCCTCCTGCTGCACGGGGTCCCAGTCTCCGTTGTAGCCGGTTACTTCACTGGGAACTCGTTTGCATTCAGAGGCGCTCGGTTTTGTAGCAAGCGTCACTCCCCCACTTTACAGATGAGCACACTGAGGTGTGGGAGAGAATCGGGACTAAATGAAACGCCTTGGCCCCAGCATGCCAATTAGGGGGCCCTGCCCAGGCCAGGCCAGGCCAGGCCAGGCGGGCACCAGCGCAGACTCCGGCCCTCACTTCAGCCAGCCTCCGCCTGGGGGCAGCTACAGGACTACACCGTACTCCTGGCTGGCCAGCGCAGACCCGCCCCTGCGCCCAGTGGAGCCACCATGGCGCACATGCCCCAGGCGCGGCTGGGTCCCACTGCACACCCGGCCCCCGGCACACCTGTGAGGTGCGTGCTGTCCGGCTCCTCTGCACACAGGCAGGAGCCGCGGGCACAGAGGGCAGCCTCGGGCACAGAGGGTAGCCTCGGGCAGGGCTGCCAGCTGGTGGGGGGGGGGCAGGATTCCAACCTCCCATGCTCTTGGCGCCAGGCCAGCTGCCTCGGGGGAGGGCTCACCCGTGGTCCCCTTCCCCCGACGTCACACGGGGTGGGGAGGGGTCAGACGGAGCTCGGGAGCCGGCTGGCTGCCCCTGCTTACCTGGGAGAGGAAGGTCCTCCTGGCGGGCGGGCTGCCGGCCTCGCTCTGCATGCAGGCGTAGATCTCCGTGTCCTGGCGCTGCAGGGCCTGCAGGACGCGTGAGGGTCAGAGGGACGGGGACGCGGGGCAGGGCCTGGCCCGGCAGCTGCGAGAGCTCAGAGGACGGGCAGAACCCTCTGGGCCCTAGTCTGCGAGGGGATGCCCGTCTCGCCCTCCATGCCATGCCTGGTCACACTGCCACCCTGTGCACCTGCAGTCCCTCTCTGCACCGTTTTCATGCTTGCACAGGGGACCCCTCTCTGCCCCTCCCCCTGCCACCTCCCTCACACCACCTCCAGGCTCCAGCCGGCGGACTGCAGACACCCGTGGCCACAGCAGCAATGATGCCCTCCTGCCAGCCACCCTTACCCCCTGGCCCAAAGCCCTGCCCCACCCCCACACCATCCAGACCTCCGTAACGCCCACCCCAGCCGCACGCACAGATGACCTGGCACCCTTTGGGGTCCCACTCCTCTCTCATCAAGCTGTACCCGGTTAGGCTCTGGGTCTCGGAACCTATGGCTGTGCATGGCACACTCGGAGACAGCACCAATCGATGCCATGGAGGGCTCCTCGCTCTAGGGGCGCGTGTTTGGGACTATACTCACTCTGGCCCGGCTAGGAGCAGCCTGAGCGGGGCCCTCAGGATGGACTGAGAGGACCAGGGCTTTGGAATCAGACAAGACTAGTTCAACTCTCAGCTCTGACACCTGCCAGCCAGCGGCAACCCGAGCCTCTCTGTGCCTCTGTTTTCTCCTCTGTAGAATGGGCACAATCACATCTATCTTGCAGGCTCAATGCATGACTAAATGAGATGTTGTGCATGATGGGCCCCGCACAGGGTCTGGAAAACAGTAGGTGCTTAATAACTGTTGAATCGTCATCAGTTGAATGAGCCTCAAAGGAGGCCTGACACCTCCCTCCCCGCTCTGCGGTCACAGCCTGGACCCTGCCTGGGCCCGGAGCAGAGCTGCCCACAGCCTCGGCAAGAGGCAGGAACCTTTCCTTCCCACGTGTACATGTCACAGGGATGCCGGCTGGTTGCCAAGGAGGTGGTTTCCCTGGCAACAGGCAAGCAGGGGTTGCTGAGGCAGCTGAGAGACAGGTGGTGCTCTGAGGCAAGAGAGGGGGAGACGCAGAGGCGAGGGGGAGGCACCGAGAGGCGCTGGGGCATGAAAGCCGCGTAATAAACCACCGGGCTCTGGGGAGACCTGCATGTCATGGGCATCACTCAGCGATGGCAAGGTGGCCCTGGGGACCACTTCCAGGGCCTCAGAGCCAGAGAGAGGCGGGTCTTGGGAGTGGGGGCCAGCTCAGACTCCAGTCCCGACTTCAGGCAGCAGTGCCTGGGGGCAGCTGGAGGCCGGACACCCTCCACCTGACGGCAGTGTGGGCGCTGCCCTGTGCCCGGGGGGCTATGACTGGTACTGCCGGGGCTGCCCCAGGAGAAGCCAAGGCCTGCGCTTCCCTGTCAGAGAATGGTGGCTGTGCCTTGTGGCCCTGAGTCTCCCCCTCTGTCCGCCCAGGCCTGGACCTCCAGGGACGCGCTGCCCCTCCACGCTGGCCACGCTGGCCACAGAGAGAAGGGGGAAAGGGTCCCTCAGTGGCTGCCCCCTCCCGCGTGTCCAGCTCACATGGGGCACGTAAGCCCAAGGGTGTCGCAGGTCACAGCCCCTCAGTGTGGAGCAAGATGGGGACGCAGGCCTCCGGCCCCCTCCTCATGCTCCCTGCGGCCAGAGGCTTTCCCAGCCGGCGGAGAGCTCCCTGCCCAGGGCCCACGGGCCGCTGTGCTGGCAGGAGCGCTGGGGCGGAGGGCAGGGAGGGCTGCAGGCCGGCAGCAGCTGGCAGGGAAGCACTGACAGGTCCTGGCCTGCGGCTGCTTTCATCCAGTGTGACCTGCATCGCCGCTGGGAAGTGCCGGCAGCACTTTAAAAGGAGCCAGGAAAGGCCTCCTGGCAAAGGGGCGTCTGAGCAGGGGCTGGGGGTGAGGGAGTGGCCACTGGGAGCAGAGGCCCCGCCAACACCGAGGCCCGTGGGGAGGGGGGTGCCTGGTGTGTGGGAGCAGCAAGAAGGCCAGTGTGACGGGAGGGAGAGAAGAAGGGAGGGAGGGAGGAAGAGGCGGGAGGGGTGGGAACGGAACTCTCGGGGGCCATGCAGGGCTGGGCCACTGACTGAGAGACAAGCGCCTTGGAGAGGTGGCCCCTGAGGATGCTTCCCCGCCTCCAGCTCCCGGGTCCGCGGCGCCAGGGCCCGCTGCCGGGTCCCACCCGTCGCCATGCAGAGCCACAGCCCAGGGGCCGCTCTGGAGCGGGTGCTCACAGTAGGGCCGCTGCAGCCCCTGGCCTGGGAGACAGGCCCTGCACCTCGGGGCTCCCCGTGCCTGGCTGAGCCAGGGCTTTCTGCTTCTCCGAGGACCCAGGCACCCCGGTCTAAGGGGCCCATCCCTCCGCTGCGGTGGGTGGGGCTGCAGGGACCCTGACAGGCGGGGGGTGGAGACCAGGGTAAGACTCCGGGCGCGAGCGGGCAGCCGGAGGGCGGCGGGGTCGGGTTCCGGATGTGCTCAGACAGATGTGCTGACGGATCAGACGTGAGCGGGAAAGCAAGCACCGCGAGGCCTGCAGCCGGAGCCGCCACTCACCCCAGGCGGGCTGAGGGGAGCCCATGGACGGCCCAGAGAGTTGACCCTGTTGGTCAGAGAGGCCAGGGCTGGAGACAGCCCCTGGGGCCATCAGAGTGTGGGAGGTCTCAGAACCCAGAGGCGGAACGTGATCACCCAGGGAGGGGAGTGAAGACTAAAGAAAAAGGGTCCCAGGACTGCACCCCTCAGAGGCCAGGGTCCCAGTGGGAGGAGGTGGGAGGAGTGGGAGGAGCTGAGAGGAGCTGGGAGGAGCAGGGAGGGCTAGTGAAGGAGGCTGAGGAGGTGTGGCAATGAGGGGGGGTACGGGGAGGGGCAATTAGGAGAGAGTGGAATGTTCCAGAAGCGAGTGAAGGAAGTGTGTCGGGGAGGAAGGATAACTCAGTGGTCGGTGCTCCTGGGCGGTCAGGGAAGGTGAGGACCAGGAACTGGCCACTGGATTTCACCACACGGAGGTCAGTGGTGACTGAGAAGAGAGGTTTTGGGGAAGAGGAGGGGGGAAGGAGAGGAGACACTGATCGTGGGGAGTCTAACAGCTCCAGGCGTCTCAGAGGAAGCGGGTGCCGGAGGGGGGTGTGGGCTCCAGGTGAGGAGTTTAAGATGGAAGGAGGCACAGCTGCCCACGTGATGCGGATCAGTGGCCCTGCCTCAGAGCACGGCACCGAGAGCCAGCTGGTAAGGAGCGGAGCTCAGAGCAAAGCGAGTGGGCTTTGAGCCCGTCTGTCTGGCCCACTCCACGTCCCTGCTGCCTAATAGGGAAGTTGGTTCTACCCACATGAATAAACAGCAAAAATGGACACAATTAAAAGGAGAAATACACAAATCTACAATCATATGGGCAGATTTTAACTCACTTCTCTTTACACCCATTAGACTAAAGAAAAATATATGTAATATTTTAACAACATCAACCTGATGTAATAAAACGCGTAGCCAGGTACAAGGCAAGTTCTTTTCAAGTACGCACGGCACACGGGCTGACCCGGGAAGCAAGTCTCAGAAGACCTCAGAGGATTGAAACCACACAGAATCCACTCTCTGATCACAGCGGAATTGGTGAGAAATGTAAAAGACACACAGAATAATAACTAGAAAATAATTAAACATTTGAAAATTAAGCAAACCACATTGAAATCGCCCATGAGGCAAGGAGGAAGTCCCCATGGACAATTTAAACGGAAAGATAATAAAAATAGATCAGAACCTGCGGGATACAGGCATTGGTTAGGGCATCCTCCTGATACACCAAGGGTGCAGGACTGATCCCCAGGCAGGGCATAGACAAGAAACAACCAATGAATGCATAAGTAAGTGGAACAACAAATCTCTCTCTCAAAATAAATAAATAAAATATTAAATTTAAAAAACTTGTGGGATACAGCTAAAGCCACACATACAGGGAAGTCCTAGTGTTAAGTACATATATTAGAAAAGAATAAAGGTTGAAAATCAATAACCTATCCACAGGGAGGAATGTACAAAACTCCTTCCTCAGAGACAGGGGACAAGACAAGGATGCCTGCTGTCAGCACTCCTGTTCACCATCATGCCGGGGTCTTAGCACCCCCATAACAAGAAAAACTACGCAAAGGGATGAGGTCAGAAAGGAAGAAATGGAACTCGCACTTTCGTAGATGGCATGGCTGGGCTCATAGATAATCCAACGGAATCCACACAGAAACCATTAGAATTCAGGAGTGGATTCAGCAAGGTCACCCTCTGCACAAAGTCAATACACAAAAACCAATCCTGTGTCTACATGCCAGCAGTAGACGATTAGAAAATAAAATGAAAATGAGGATAACACCTGTATCCAGAACCCCCACTGTGAGAATTACTGAGCTAACGGTGGGAGTCCTGACTCGGTGCCTGGCACACAGTAGGTACTCAACAAACGGCTCCTGACATGATCATCCCTGTGATTAATGTCTTTCGTATCTACCCAGGTCCGGTCCCAACCGGTAGGGAGTGGCCAGCAAAGCCCGTGGCCTCCCTCTACCTTCCAGCCTCTCCACGCCACTGCACCAGCTCCCGCCCCGCCGCCCCATGCTCCCGCGGGGCTGCCTGAGCCTCCGGAACCTCAGCACAGGCGAGAACGGTGTTCCCTGCAAAGGGGAGTCTCTCTCATCAAAAATGACCTTGGAGAAGAATATTATTCACGTGGGAAGATGTTCACGAGATGGTGTAACATGGGGGGGGGGGAAGCTGTATTACTCCAACTTTTAAAAAAAGTATGTGTGAATGTACGTATGGGTCTCTGTATGTTTTGTTTTTTCAATGGACTAGAAGGTACAGAAGTCAATCTTACTAGTATTTATCCTGAAAGAAGACAGAATTAGGGCGATGGCTATTTTCCTCCCTTGGTATATATGAGAGAGATCGTGTGTGTGTGTGTGTGTGTGTGTGTGTGTGTGTGTGTGTAGAGGGGAGGGAGGGAGGGAGAGAGAGAGAGAGAGAGAGAGAGAGAGAGAGAGAGAGAGATGTTTTATTTAACAGCTGACACCAGAAGGCCTCGTGGGAAACCCATCGTGAGCTGCTGGGAGGGAGGAGAGTCTGCGAAGTTCGGGGCCGTGGGGAGCTGGTGGAAACCCCTGGGGGGCGGGCTGAAGACCCTGGGGCGCTGACCTTGATCTGCTCTATTTGGAGCTGTCAGCGCTGCCCCTCGTCCCCGGCTGCCCCCCTGAGTGAGCAGGCGTGTCCTAATGCCCTCTGTGGGGTGCCATGGAGGACCCACGTTTCCTGTGAGTCAGGCTGGCGGGGACAGGAGCAGTGACAGCGAACACGGCAGAATCCTGGCGCTGGAGGCGGCCCCGGAACACACCCCCGGGGCACCCTGGCAGAGCTAAGATCTCAGCCAGCGGCGGCTGGATCCCCGGCTGGAGCCCCGGCTGACCCCCCGCACGCACTCCTCACGCTCTCTGCGATGAGCACCTGCCACTGTGGAACTGAGACAGAACTGAGCAGGCAGGTCTGTCGCCTTCCCGGCCGCCAGGCAGCGCGGCTGCGTGCCGCCCGGTGGGCAGGCTGGGCGGGCGGGCACACCCAGTGGGGCACGTGGGTGAGCCTCTCCCTCCAATCACGGTGGAGACATTCGCGATGGAAGAGCCACGGGACATGGAAAAGCGTCCCTGCCGTGTCTCCTCTTAATCACGAGGATCTAAAACTATGTCTGTGCGTAGTGCTGGCGGGGGAGTGGGGCGGGATGCGTGTGGAGAATTGAAAGTTATTGATGTCCCCTGGCCGGCGTGGCTCAGTGGTTGAGCATTGACCTATGAACCAGGAGGTCATGGTTTGATTCCTGGTCAGGCACAGGCCAGGATTGTAGGCTCCATCCCTCATGCAAGTGGCAGCTGATCAATGACTCTCTCTCATCATTGATGTTTCCATCTCTCTCTCTCCCTCTCCCTTCTTGTCTGAAATCAATAAAAAAATATTTTCAAAAAAGAAAAGAAAGCTGTTGGTGTTAAGGGCTTGGGACATGCCCGACTTTTTCCGCTTTTTGTGACTCTTGTCACTGATGTTTGCGCAATAAAAACGGGAAGGAGCTGGCGAAGCATCTGGTTGGATGAAGGAACTGTCTGTTCCTCACCAGCTCCTGCCCTGAGACCCTCGTTCCAGAAGGGGGGACGGGGGCGGGCCCAGGAGGGGACCTGGGCGCTGCACAGGGGCATGCCTGCCAGGGGCCAGGCCACGCCCGGAATCTCGGTTCACCTTCAGAGGAAGCCCGCCAGTGGTACTTCCTGTCCCGGTCTACAGAGGAGGAACTGAAGGCTCAGCGAGGTCACAGAGGGTGCATGACCAAGGGTCACACAGGGGTGCATGACCAGGTCTGGGAGCCAGAACAACGCCAGGCCTGGGGGAGGGGGGCCAGGCCTAAGGGAGGGGGGCCAGGCCTGGGGGAGGGGGGCCAGGCCTGGGGGAGGGGGGCCAAGCCTGGGGGAGGGGGGCCAGGCCTGGGGGAGGGGCACCAGGCCTGGGGGAGGGGGTCAGGCCTGGGGAGGGGTGGCCGGCCTGGGGGAGGGGGGCCAGCCCCATACTCACCATGTAGGCAGACTCCTCAGGAGGCTGCTTGGGGCTGGCCGTGCTCGGAGCCGGGATCTTTGGGGGCGGGATCTTGGCGGCCGGGATCCTCTGAGCCAGCTGCCTCCAGGAAGCCCGCATCTGCTTCTGCGAGGAGCCAGCCAGGGCTCAGGGTGGGAGCGAGGACTCCCCTGTCCCCTTCCTGGCAGACCCCCCGGGACAGGGCGGCAGGCGCCGTGAGGCCGCACACAGCCGATCGCTCCGCGCCGGCCTGCCCTCGCCGGGATCCTGCCGGAGCCTCCGAGGCCTGCGCTCCCCCTCACCGGCCGGAAATGGCACAGACCACGAGGCACTGCCCAGGGCCGCGGGGAGGCCCGGTCCCACCGTGGGGGGCGGAGCTGAGCGAACAGCGCGCTGCCTCCCGCTGTGGCCTCAGGTGACCCACCTCCCCTCCCTGGGCCTCAGTTTCCTCATCAGGGAGCCCCTCCTGCACAGCTGTGGCGAGGACTCAGGGAAGACTGAGAGCGTGAGTGCTTGGCACACAGGCGCAGGCCCCTCTCCAGCCGGGCGGCAGGAGAGAGGGAGTGTGGGACCGGGAGGGAGGCAGACCCGGGACCAGCGTTGTCCAAAGCGGCCGCACACCGACACGGGACAGCCTCTGGGCGGCAGGGGCGCCCCAGCGGGCAGGAGGGAGCCCAAGACCTGAAGCCTGAGAAGGCCGGTGGCCAGACAGGGGGGAAGGGCGGGGGGACAGCGGGCGCCAAGGCCTGGAGGCGCCGAGGGACCTCAGTGGTCAGCGTGGCCACAGAGGCGCAGCTGCCCGGGGCGGCCCCGCAGGCGAGAGAGGATGGAGAGGGAGACCGCGGCGGGGGACCAGGAGGGCCTGTGGTTTCAGAAAGCTCACGCCGGCCGCCACACGCAGCTCTGACCGCGGCGGCAGCGGTGGTGGCAGCGGTGGTGGTGGTGGCGGTGGTGGTGGTGGAAGTGGCGGTGGTGGTGGTGGCGGTGGTGGTGGAAGTGGTGGTGGTGGTGGAAGTGGTGGTGGTGGTGGTGGTGGTGGTGGTGGTGGAAGTGGCGGTGGTGGCGGTGGTGGCGGCGGTGGTGGTGGTGGAAGTGGTGGTGGCGGTGGCGGTGGAGGTGGTGGTGGTGGTGGTGGCGGTGGTGGTGGAGGTGGTGGTGGTGGTGGTGGCGGTGGAAGTGGTGGTGGTGGAAGTGGTGGTGGTGGTGGTGGAGGTGGTGGTGGAAGTGGTGGTGGTGGTGGTGGCGGTGGAGGTGGTGGTGGTGGAGGTGGTGGTGGCGGTGGTGGAAGTGGTGGTGGTGGAGGTGGTGGTGGTGGAAGTGGTGGTGGTGGTGGTGGAGGTGGTGGTGGAAGTGGTGGTGGTGGTGGTGGCGGTGGAGGTGGTGGTGGTGGTGGAGGTGGTGGTGGTGGAGGTGGTGGTGGCGGTGGTGGAAGTGGTGGTGGCGGTGGTGGTGGTGGTGGCGGTGGAGGTGGTGGTGGTGGTGGAGGTGGTGGTGGTGGCGGTGGTGGTGGTGGTGGAAGTGGTGGTGGCGGTGGTGGTGGTGGTGGCGGTGGTGGAGGTGGTGGTGGAAGTGGTGGTGGTGGAAGTGGTGGTGGAAGTGGTGGTGGTGGAAGTGGTGGTGGTGGAAGTGGTGGTGGTGGTGGAAGTGGTGGTGGTGGTGGTGGTGGAGGTGGTGGTGGTGGTGGTGGAGGTGGTGGTGGTGGTGGTGGAGGTGGTGGTGGTGGAGGTG